ATTAAAAAGAAAACAATTTGAAGCTAGCTAGCTACAGTTAACCATTTGTAGCCTCTCGATCTGTAAATTTAGATTAATTATTGCTATCAACTCACAATCTAACTGACCTTGTTAAAGTTGGGATTACTTTGTATACGGTTATTCCAACTTTCACTAGTTTGAAGTAGCATCAACTTTTAGCAGATAAACAGTTCTTAATCAAATTTAAAATTTGTTAATGGTTCTCTCAATTAATTGGTCGGATACATAATTAATGAGGGGTATCTTTGAAAAATATGTACAAAATTGGAACAAAGTGAAAAGTGTAGAAACATGGTTTATTTACAAGCTTTGATGCTAGTCATATCATCTCATTCCTTGCATTACATTGAAATTTATTTTCTTCTTTAGGAGTTTGGAATAGAGGAAACAAATTCAAATAGTGTAGAGTTCGGAATGGGAGAATCAAGCGTTATTGGAAGTGAAACTGCGGTCAATACTGTAAATGCTCCTAAACCACTTCTAGGAATGAAGTTTAATAGTCATGAAGAAGCTTATAACTATTATAACTCTTATGCATTGTTGATGGGTTTTGGAATAAGGAAGAGCACTGTGAATTACTCTCGCAAGACTAGAGAAGTGGTAGACAGAAAGTTTGTTTATGATAAGGAGGGCTATAAACCTAATAGTGGCAAGATAGAGATCCCTCTTCGGCGAGAGACCCGAGTGGGATGTTAGGCAACGATGCGAGTTAAATTATTGGAGGACAAATCGTGGGAGGTCACGGGGTTTGTTGAAGAACTTACAAATCATGTGTTGAGTAGTCCAGACAAAGCAAAAATGCACAGATCACATCAACAATTCCATAAAACTCAAAGATGTAAAAAACTTATTGATCGTCTGCGAGAAGAAGGTATACCTCCTTCCACTATTTCTCGCGTTATCAATGCAACCAATGGAAGAGACGGTGAATTTGTGACATCACAACAGTGAATTGATCATATCAGAACCCAAAGAGTCAACAATATTGGTCATGAATGCATATCTATCATTCAACATTTTCAGAGTATGACAGCGAATGATCCAGAATTTTATTATGCAATTGAAGTAGATAGTAGTGGACAAATGAGGAGTGTTTTCTGGGCCGACGGAAGATCAAGAGCATCTTATTTGCAATTCAGTGATGTTATTGTGTTTGATGTGACATACAGAACTAATAAGTTGGGTCTTTCATTTGCTCCATTTACAGGTGTAAATCACCATAAGCAGTCCACTTTACTTGGTTGTGCATTATTAGCCGATGAACAGGAAGATATCTTTGTTTGGTTATTTGAAGAATGGCTGAAATGCATGCATGGCTTTGAACCAGGTGCTATTATAACAGATCAGGATAGAGCAATGTGTAATACTATTAACTCAGTGTTTCCAACGACAAGACATCGTTATTGCTATTGGCACATGCAAAAGCATATTATTGATCATTTGCCTACTTTGGTATCTCGTTATAGTGAACAGTTTCAGAGGTATTGGGGCTTGTGGTGCAATAGTTCTTCAATTGAACAATGTGAAGGATATTGGGTTGAGATGAAAGAGAAGTTTGATATAAATGAAGAAGGGGAGGGATGGTTGCAAACAGTTCACAAATGCAGAGAACACTGGGTGCCGTGTTATCAGAAGGACACTTTTTTTGCTGGAATGAGATCAAGCCAAAGGAGTGAAAGTATTAATGCATTTTTTGATGGGTATGTTAACTCACAGACTCAATTACACGAGTTTGTGACACAATATAAAAAAGCAGTAACTCATCGTCGCTTAAGTGAAGCCCATGAAGATTTTAAGAGTCTGAACACAAAGTCGGTCATGCTCCTTGGACATCCAATTGAGGTCCAAGCTGGAGAAATATATACACGCAATATGTTTGATGTGTTCCAAACTGAATTCAAAGGATTTGGTACAAAGTTCTATGAAGAATTGAGAAAAGATGGGGACATTGTTGAATACAAGGTCTGTAAGTTTACAGATAGAGGAAAATGGGAGGTGGTTACTTATGAACAATCCAGTCAGATGCAGTTATGTTGCACTTGTGCTTTGTTTGAAACTAATGGTGTTGTATGTAGACATATATTATCACTAATGATGGCTAGGCAAATGGATTCATTACCCGACCACTACATCCTACACTGTTGGACCATACATGCAAGGCATCGTAACATTGGGGTTGGCAACATCGTATTTGGAAGAAACATCACCAGCTGTGAAGAGAAGATTAATTTATTGAAATCTTGGGCTTTAAGAGCAAAATTCAATAATGTGCTCGAGCTTGCATTTGATTCAGAAGAGAAGCTACAACAACTTGATGATGTGCTAACAAATTTCATGGAATCACTTGAAGAAGAAGTTGGAGAAACTCAAGATCAAATGATGGATATTCCTCAACCTTCCGCACCCATTTCACATACAATAGAGAACATTCCTCAGATAACAATTCATGATCCTGATAGACCTACAAGGACTAAAGGTCGTCCACGCAATGCTACTAGAATTCAGTCAGGTTTAGAACAGGCACAAGAAAAGAAAGAAAGGAAGAAACGCATATGTAACAGATGTGGTAAACTCGGGCATTATAGAACTAGCTGTAAAGTTAACTTGCAAAGGTACCATTTTCGTTTCTATTCAGTTTTAACCCTATATAAGTTTATGAAACTTGATAGCACAAAGTCATATCTCATGATTAATTTGTCATATAATTTGCAGCTAAACATATGCACGGGTGGTGGATGTATTGGTTTGTTCACAAAGTCATATCTCATGATTAATGTACGTATGATTGCTTGCATTTTTGTGTATCAATCTTTAACAACGCTTTATTTACTCTGTTTTTAACTTTTAACAAACGATTTATTTGATTGTGCATGTGTTTCTCTTACAGCGCTACCACTAACACAGGAAAGGGCACAATCCACTCAGGTTCATCCACAACTCTGCCTTGGCCCCTCAAGTGATGCGCATTTTGTACAAGACCTCTCATCACTATCTCGTAGCTGCTGATTGTGTCTTGTAGCTGCTAATGTATTACTACATTTTATGTATTAAGACTGATTGTGTTAAACTGATTCTGTTTTGTTGATGGGTAACAGTACGTATGATTGCTTGCATTTTGTTGCGCTGTAAGTATCATGCTCATCCATGTCTTTGACATTGGCTACAAATCAGATGATAGTATTTGGATAGAGGGGCAAGCAGGTTTTATTTACAGGGGGTAAAAGGTGCAAATAATTTTGGACGTTTAAGCATTCTGTGGATGCTGATTGATTAAAACAGCAATGGCTTAGAAAAACAGAATTCTTTTGCTCCTCACTGATTCCTATTCTCTTCAAATTGATTAAGGTTACAGGTCACCTTATACGTCAGACCTATCAAATCTTGTGAGAACCTCATTGTACTGATGCACCTTACTTACTTCATGACACCATGATTTTGTTCTATTCGCAGCTATTAACGAGCATCACTTAAGTTACCTACTGGGAGTAAAAAATTTCCATGCCCATGACAATCGTTGTCTCAGGAATAGCGAAAATGATTGCTTTTGTACCTGTAAAAGTATTAACACAACGTAAGCCAGTTTTATTGCATTCCTTGGCTGTGTAACTTTTGAACTCCTTTTTTTACAAGTGTGTGCGTGAGCTAGCGCACCAGGAATAATTTGTTAGATGGTGGACTGAGAAAGAATTTGAACTATTGTTGCTAGTATATCCCATTCAAAAGTTAACAATGATAGGAAGATATAGTATACTTTGTATCATCACTGTCTTTTGTGTTTCCCTCGGTTCAATTACAAACATGTTTCCAGTTGGAAAAAATAAATACTGACAACTTCAATATTCATTTCCACTAACCTATGCATAACAACAACTCAATAACACCAGATACACAATATGTACTTACAAGATACATAAGTTCTCACAATCACACCAGATACATAAGTTCTCACAATCACATAAGTTCTCACAAGATACATAAGTTCTCACAATCTCACAATCACATAAGTTACTCGATACATAAGTTCTCACAATCACATAATTTTTGCAATATAGAAAAAAATAAATACGACAATGATACATACTACAAACACTAATATTGTAAACACTGAACCTAATGCAAAAGCATAGATAGGGGAAATAGTAGTTCTTGAGCTCGATGCAGAATCAGGTGTCGGGACATAAAAAGGTGTTTGGACATGCCTTGAGTTGGATGCTGAATCACAAGCGATGTTGTGTTTATCCCATTCAACCAAAGCCTCTTCGTACGTTGCATACCCTTTATATGCGGCATTTGGGTATTTATCAATTTGCTTTTTACAGTCCTCCCAATTATTAAAAATTCCACATCGTCGACCTCTCTTCACAATGTAAAAACTCTTTCTTGCCATGGACCACCTAAAAAATTGTGGTTTAAAAAGAAATCACAGTAAAAACTCTCTTAATTTCTTTATTGTAGTGGCAGATTCAATTAACTTCTCTTTCACTCGCACAATCACAAATTGTAAAAATCACAGTTTACATTAATATTTACATAGAGTAACAATAAGTTGTGCATAACTAAATGAGATCAAATGAAACCTATGATTATCAGCTTATAGAATAATTGACCTGAGATTTTTCATTTGTTTTAACCATATCACCATCTGAAACAATGTGGTCAGAGGTATCTGTGAAGCCACAAGACGAAGTATCTTCTTGTTTGAACGTAAGTGCTGAAATCAGCTCCCCAAGAATGGAAGCAGTGCATCTCTCTTCAGAAGCATTTCCAGGTAGAAATTCATCGCAATCCAGAGAATTAATAAAGTACTTATTTAACTCTTCAATTTAACTCTTCAATGTTTCTGTTGATACCTATGACTGTAATATAATCATTTTGGAGGTAAAAATATGCTAAATTAACAAAAATTGGCAATCAAAGAACCTGGTTAATGTTAATCTACCCTAGTTTAATTTTAATATGAGCACGGTTTAACAAAATGAGATCAAAATTTAAACTTTTTCATACCTATGACAGTTATATGATCATTATGGAGGTAAAAAAAAGCTAAATTAGCAAAAATAGGCAATCAAAGAACCTAGATGGGGATTTCACCTGAGAACAAATTCAAAGAGAGAGGTCGGTGCTCGCGTCGGAGGAGTCGAGAGGAGCTGTCCAGATCTCGTGGTCGAAGGAGTTGTCCAGATCTCTTTCACGGCGGTTTCGTGGTCGAATCGGGGGAAGGGGGGAGAGGGATTGAAGGGGGGAGATGGGTTAATCGCTGGGAGAGCGGCAAATCTCGTGGTCGAAGGAGCTGTCCGCCTCTCTTGGTCGGCGGTTTCGTGGTCGAATCGGGGGAAGGGGGGAGAGGGATTGAAGGGGGGAGATGGGTTAATCGCTGGGAGAGCGGCAAATCTCGTGGTCGAAGGAGCTGTCCGCCTCTCTTGGTCGGCGGTTTCGTGGTCGAATCGGGGGAAGGGGGGAGAGGGATTGAAGGGGGAGATGGGTTAATCGCTGGGTGAGAGCTGAGGGATTGAAGGGGGGAGAGGGGATAATCGCTGGGGAGAGAGCTGGGAGAGAGCGATTTGGGGCTGAGGAGATTTGAGATCCATCGATTTTTTTTGGGTCACGAGATTGCTTTTGTGGCGGAAGAGACGGGGAAATTTTTCAAAAAACTCCCTGCAGCGCACAAAAAACGTGAGCTGCCAGCGTACCCACAGTATTCTCATATATATATATATATATATATATATATATATATATATATATATAATATTTATTTATATATATATATATATATATATATATATATATATATATATATATATATATATATATATATATATATAAATAAATATATATAAATATATATGTATGTATGTATACATATATGTATGTATACATACATATATGTATGTATATACTGTAAAACCCCGAAAATTTGAATATAGTGTGATAAATAATTATAAATATGTTATATGGTGAAAATAATGTATTTTGATATTTGAGTATGATAGGAATTGATTTGAGATCAATTTAATGTATATTTGTGAATATATGAGTGTAAATAAACAAAACATGCACAAAGGCCAAGAGTGAAAATCTGGGAATTTTGACCAGTTGAGAGTTTGTATATTTTTCATACTGATTCATTAAGAATCTGGTAAAGTGTATAATACCAAAGTTGTAGGACTCTTCAATATCTTTCCAACAAATCTTAGATCACCTTATTCTGATATCGTATGAGAAAGTTATAGCCAAAATACCGAAGAGAATGTTCCTAGTCAGACTGAATTTCCAGTTTCGGGTTTCGGGTTTCAGGTTTCGGGTTTCGGGTTTGCTGCTATATATATACATGTTATATCATGAAAATCACCTCTTTTCTTCTGTTTTACAAACCCTAGCACCCCCCCCTCTTCTCTCCCAAACCCTAGATCCGTTCTTGGTGATTTTTGAGGAGTCTCGAAGGGTTTCAACGGGATTTGGAGCGATTCTATCGAAGGAGGAGCATGCTCATGCGTGTTCAGGAGTTCTACAATACCCCCTCAGGCGAATAACATCTCGCCCAATCCTCTCCCATGTTTTTAAAAGTTTACAAACGTTTTTCATGAGTTTTATTGAGCCTAAGACTTATTTTCAAGTATAAATTAATGCTCTTATTAGGGTGAATGCTAGAAATCATGTGTTTCAGATTTGAAAACCTCACCAACGAGTTTTTGATAAAAACCCAGATCTGGAGTTTTATTTAAAGAATAAAAATATGAGTTTTATTTTGATTTAATGCTTCCTTTCATGTATAGGAGTTAAATATGAGATTTAACCTACAAGAGAATCGTTTCTCATGATAAATATGTTTTTCTCACTGTATCATAGTCTAGAATTGATAGCTATAAAGATGTAGATCAGTGTAATGGAAGGATGGATCGATTTGGCGAATTTAACTTGTGATATATACAGATTCAGCCCGTAAGTCGACTCACGACTCATGACGAGTCGACTCATCAGGTTGAGTCGACCCATGACTGTCATGAGTCGACTCACGAAGTCCAGTTGTGTTGTCTTTTTTACTTCTGCTGATTCGATTCGTCAGCATACGAGTCGACCCATAAGTCATGAGTCGACCCATGACTGTCATGAGTCGACTCACAAAGTCCTTTTCTGTTATCAAATGTGTTCTGTTGAGTCGACTCATATTTGAGTACGAGTCGACTCATCATAGTATTTTCTTTCTGTTTCGTTCATGCTTCTGTTTAAATTACATGTTGGGTGTATATAAGTATTTATGCATACGGTGATTATGAATTCACCTGTTCATGTGAGATGATACTTTGAACACGAGTTTAAGTCAGTACAGCAGAGTATGTACGGGAATATAGACATGTATACTTTTGGTACGCAGTCCTCGTGTTGGACTATAATCCATTAAAGTCCTCGTGTTGGACTATAATCCATTAAAGTCCTCGTGTTGGACTATAATCCATTAAAGTCCTCGTGTTGGACTATAATCCATTAAAGTCCTCGTGTTGGACTATAATCCATTACAGTCATGTTTTAGACTTTTGATAAACCTTGAGCATGTTACTTATCCCAGTTGGGTTCACGACATATTGTATTAGGCCGGGGCATGATAGCTACTTAGGTTGTACATGACATCTATTGTAGCTTTGTCATGTTTACTTTTCATCGGTATAGATGGGTATGTATTCTTTTCTTTATTTGTTTCTTGTGACCAACCTCGGGTTTAATATTTAGGGATCTACAATTTGAGATACAAGGTATATACATGAGGGTTTCCTTGTTTGGATTATTTCGCTCGACGTACCTATGCTCGTGTTGTATTTCCCTAAGTACTAAAACCCATTAATGTTTGTGTAAATGATTTATATTATTATGTATTAATTGTATTTTTCATGTACAACGAGCCCTATC